TGCACTTAGTCCTAGATTACATACGGTAACAAGAACAGTGCCTACCTCCACTTAGTCCTGGATTACATAGGTAACAAAAGCAGATGCCCACCTATGCTTAGTCCTGGATTGCATGCAGTAACAGTAGCAGATGCCTACTACACTTAGGCTGGATTATATCTGATAACAAAAACAAATGGACTCACTGCCATGAAAGCGGTTCGGCTCGTAGCAGCCCTCCAGGACACGGCAGCGCGGCCTCGGGGAGATTGACTCTGGATAGGTCTTTCTCCCGCGGAGTGGCCGTTGGTTTCGAATCACTGACCTTGTGGTTAGCAGTCCAGCGTGTGACTGCTACACCACCGAGCTCCTGGGCTCGGGAAAGCAGGTCTTTATCATAAAAGCCAACCAACAAGATGCACACTTCCCGAGAGCGGGCACAGCTGTGTGCACACATGTACTTAAGGAGCCTGGGTGCGTGGGTCAAGCAAAAGGCCGGTGTTCCAAGCCCATGGCTGCTCTTGGGGGCACGACCAGGCTGTCTGCCACCCTGAAGACTCAGTCTCGGAACGCCTGCCTAAGTGGCTCATGAGAGTCAGGTGTGAGTTGTGGCTCAGGTCCACCTTGCAGTGGGAGGGTCACAGAACCCAGGCCTGGCGGTCTGCTTCCGTCAAGATGACAGCCAAGAACCCCCGTGGAGCACCTGGGCCGGCCCACATCGGAACCGACTGACCGGCGCTGAGTTCCAGGCTGCATCCAGTGCTCCCTGGACCCAACCCTGGGTGGGAGTTTGATGGGCCCATCACACCATACATGCCCTGTAGAAAGTGCCCGGTGCACCCCCCACACCCCCACATGGCAGCCCCACCTCCATGCACGCCCTGTAGAGAGTGCCCAGTGCGCCCCCCACACCCCTGCCTGGAAGCCCCACCTTCATGTGTGCCCTGTAGAGAGTGCCCAGTGAGCCGCCCTGCCCCCGGCCTCGCAGCCTCACCTCCATGCGCGCCTTGTAGAAGTCCACGTCGTGCAGCTTCTCCCGGCAGCGCACCAGCTCCATCTCCAGCCGCTCCACGCGGGTGGCCTTCTCCCGCAACGCGTCCAGCTCATCCCGGTAGGCGCGCACAGACCGGGCGTCAGCTGCCAGCTGGACATTCTGCCAATGCAGAAGAGCCAAGTTTAGGGAGCCCTGGGGGGGGCGCTGTCCCTGAAGGATGGTGCTGCTGTCCCTGGGCTCCCAGACAGGGCAGGGGCCCTTGCTGGCGGTGGCCCGTGCTCCATCCTGACCCTGGCCTGGCGCCTCCACACTCAGGTCTCTGCATACCTCCTGCTTGACCTTCTGCAGATCCAGCGTCAACTGGTCCACCTCATGTCTGGTGTCCACAAGCTGCTCCGTCTTCTCCTCCCTGGATGGGGTTGAGGGGAGGGGGCACATGGCACAGGAACACGGTAAGAGACTT